CATAATATCCATCAGTGTCCCCTGTCCTGCCACAGTGCACATCTCCCTATCTGCCTGCCTACCTTTCTCTGATTCCAGCCGACTGAACTATCTGGACTGGAGAGTACAGTAGATACAGCGGCGGATTGATATCTGCTGTACTCTCCAGTGCAGACCGGAACTATAACTTAATTGTCGGGCGCCGCGGCTCCTGATATTAATGCGCCGGCCCGAAAGTGAGGAAATAGTCCCCTCTCTCCCCGGGCCATACCACTTTATCGGAGAGCCCGGGGGAGGCCGGGAGAGAGGGGACAGTTTGACATTATGAGGTTCCACAGGCTGAACCACAAATTCCCCCTCTAGTTCTCTCTAATGCAGATGGGCCGGTCTATGCAGACATGACGCCGCGACCCACTGCAGAGGGTGTCGCGACCCACTTTTGGGTCGCGACCCACGAGTTGAGAACCACTGGACTAGGGAATACCTGCAACCCTGGAATATCAGGAGAACAAATACCGGAATCTGAACTAGATGAAGTCAGGGCAAGGCAAGGGAGTATAACAACAACCAGGAAATGCTACAGAGGATCACCCTGAGGTTCAGACTCGGACAGAAGAGCTCATCTCCAAGGGCAATGACTACACCTGAATTGAGCCCACACCACCAGGGACCTGCTGACAAGGCAGAAAATACCTATAACAAAACACAGTCAACAAAAATGAAACTGGGTAGAAACCCCCAGGAGTAAAAGCCCCTTAAAGAAAGAAAGAAAGAAAGGACAAAACAGGTCCACAAGAGGGGACAAACTGGTTTACAAAAAAAGGCCCAAGCCTTACACTTCTAACCTTTGAAATCTGGGAGGGAAGGTGCCAGGAAAAGACTCAGGTTGCCTAGCCAGTCAAACTATCTTGCACAACATATACAAGGGCATATAAGAAGACCTATGGTGCAATATCCAAACAGGATAGTCAACAATGCCTCCTGAGACTGGTACAAACCCATTGGTACCACAATGAGGTTTGTCTAAATGGCTAAGGGAGGTAGGGTGGTCAAGAGATCCCCTTAAAAGGATAGGCAGGGGTGAAAGTATACTAAAACCCCAGACTGGTGCACACAAAAACCACAAGAGTAGAAGGGTGAGTAACAGCCATCCACTAAAAAAATGGTTCTATGAGAGATCTGATCCACACAATTTAATGAAGCATCCACAGCCATGAAGTGAGGGGCAGGGACCTTAGCTAAACAGTTAGCTGGATAGCTAGACTTGAGTCAAGGTGTAGGGATCTTGATTACACAGGGGCTGGCTTAGAATGTTCTATCAAACACTCTTTCCTACCAGATGTTGTCCCCAGGGACACGCTGGCTTGTGTGCATTTTTATCACATTAAAGAGAAAGTGATGGCTGCTGCAAGATCAAAACCTGCTCTGTCACCGCAATTCAAAGGTATATCACTCTTTGCTGATTTATCACAAGTTGCCTCATATTTCCATGGTTCTGCGCCAACAACACATCCCCCATTAATGGGATTTCAATACTAAGCTGCTCGTCTCATTAAAGGGGAAAACCTACTTGATCCACTCTCTGGAAACAAGCATAAAGCTCCTCTCTGAATGGAATATGCCCACACAGGCCTTAACCTCAAAAATTCCTCCAGATCCCAGGAGAATTCATCAAGAAAGGACATGATCGGTATTCTGCACCGCTCGGAGCTAACCTCGTTGTCCTCTTTGTCCAGGGCCCTGGATGAGTTTTCCCATTTAGGCTCCATTACAGTTTCCGGTTCTAGTCTATTTGCCAGTTTTGTTTTTTTTTTTGTTTTTTTTCCAGGCACTACCACCTGCCTTATTTTTGCCTCACACGTTTAACAGCTTTGTTATTGGAATTTTGTTTCTTATGGTGTTTGTTACCATTGTCCTGTTTTATTCTCTCCCATGTTCCCTCCTGAATCACAACAGCTTACTAACGCTTATGTGCTTTTTATATTCCCCGTACATCTGCATTTTTGTACTCCCATGCATTATTTGGATCAAAACCTCTGTTTGGATGTAATAAGTACAACCCTACTGTCACCTTTCTACCTCACATCCTTAAATGTCATTTACCATAACATCTATCAATGTCAAAGGGCTGAATAGTCTGACCTTACATTCATAGTATCTTGAAATCCATGAAACATATAACTGATCAATGCAACCTCCCTATGACCGAATACCACCGCTACTATCAAATTACACATCTATTACATAAGCAACATTTTCCAACTATGTGTCTATTGTCCTAAAATATATACATTTTTATATGGAACTACTCGGTCTTTGGGAGGTATTGCTTTGTTCTATACATTTTTAGGGAACAATAACTTATTTTCCAAGTCTCCCCAAATGCTAAAATGGGAACATGACTTGGGAATTACCCTCTCCACTTCTCAGTGTCAAAAAGCTTTTCAGATATCCCACAAGACATCTTTATGTACCAATCACCAGGAAATGTTTTACAAATTAGTTAATAAATTGTATTTTACGCCCTATAAAGTGTCAACATTTTCAATAAAAATTCCCCCGCAATGGTGGAGAATGTGTGTAGAAGTAGGCTTCTTGGCTCACATTTTCTGGTACTGCAAATTAGTCAGTTCCTATTGGAACCAGATTTTTCATCTTATTTCACAGTTTACTACCACCCCAGTTACTCCCTCCATTACCTTGGCACTCCTACACATTGATCTAGACACTTTTCCTGTCTCCTCTAGAACCATAATTTCACGTTATGCTGCTGTTTTATTGATTGCTCATAAGTGGCGTATGTCTTCCCCTCCCAATGTCTCAAAAGTTGTGCGTTTAACCAATCTCCAATGCTCTTATGAACGTACATTCTCATATATAAACAATACATATTCCACATTTTGCCATAAGTGGGAATTTTTAGATTGTGAATAGAGCAAACTCCGCTGTGATTTGAGGATAGTAAACAGGTTGGAATGGAATCCCTGAAAACAGACTAGGACTCATGACCTGGATGAATCAGAACCTTCACAGACACTCTTACGAATATTCTTATGGGGTAATAAAACTCCTAGATTAGCTTTTAAAACTATGACTCCAACATGGTGGTATAGGGCTACCTGACATTGAAAAATATTATTGGGCATGTCACCTCACCAGACTCCTAAACTGGAATACCCATTGTTACCAGAAGGGGTGGGTTGACTTGGAGAAATCGACGCCAGTGGATTCCCTACCATTTTACCCATGGGTTGCCTCTGTATTTCTTTTGGCATCCTTTACCAATCACCCCTTCATAAATTAAATTTTGCATATATGCAGAACGACCTCTACTACTTTACATATGATGACCAATCTTGGTCCTCTCACCCCTATCTGGGACAATTCTGCTTTTCCCCTGGGTCAGTCTCTTACCTTTCTGAATAACTGGTGAATTAAAGGCAGTGCGACTGACAGACATTTTTTTTATTGAGTTTTCAAAGACAGACACACCTTTATAGCTGAATCACAGGAGCAGGGAAGAAATTTTCCCCTCTGTTCTTACTTCCAACTTAGACATTTTCTTCATACATCTTGACATATGGACTGTTACACTAGAGTGCTTACTCATCTTGAACATCTATGTACATCTGAGGAACCCCACAAGCACCTGATTTCCACCCTTTACTAACTTATCCTGACCTCAACTTCCCCACCATCAAATAACCTCAAGCTAAAATGGGAACAAGACTTGGTGATCAGCTTTTCAGATCAGGAATGGGAAAACATGAATATCAATACATGCAAGAGCTCCATAAATGTCAATACCCAGGGAAATAAATGTAAAGTATGGGCTAGATGGTACAGAGTGCCTTGGCCACTCCATAAGCTCTTCCCATTTTGTGATCATCTTTGCTGGAGATGTTGAGAGGAAGAAGGGTCTTTTCTGCACATTTGGTGGACATGTCCAAAAATCCAAAGGTTTTGGAAGCTCGTTTTAATCTCTAGCATAACCGGTGATTCCCTGATCCTTACCCCAGAGGTATGTTTACTTGACCATGCCACCCAAGCTCTATGCAAACACACACAAAAACGCTGAAGTTTCATGAGGAACACAGTTAAGCAACTTATCTCTTTACACTGGAAGACCCCCTCTTCTCCCACAGAGAGTGGTTCACAAGGATCAATACAATTGCTGAGATGGAAGAACTGATTCACGCTTCATATGATAAAACATACCAACACACATTTACACTGGCTTGTTGGGTTCATTTTCAAACTACCTCTATCTACAATTCTATTATGTCTGACTTGGCATCTGAACAAGTATAGACTATACATTTCTTTCAGCTAATTGATTAGTGTCTTTGATATTTCTGGTTTACCCTGCTCCCTCCCATCCACTATTTCATTTTGGATCCCCTTGCACTATATTCTTCCTTGCTTCCTTCTTAAACATATGCATATACCCCCTCTGTCTTTATCTTTTTTTCTCAGTCATATTATCTTTATATTATTTTACCATTTGTAAACGCC